AAATTCTCTGTATTCCTGATGCTTAATATTCTTTTACATAAAATTTTATTTAAGTAATAGTGAGGATCACATGAGTGCCATCAGGTTCTATCTCTCTTTCCTGGGATTCGACCAGAATGGCATTCATTCATTGATTCTATCGGTCTTTATTGATCTCCTAACTTGAGCTAGGCATTGTCCTATACAAAACTCTAAAACTATTCACTTGAGCTATCCTTACTCAATGACCCAGTTACATATCAATGATTCCAGGAAAATATTTTTTTAGTCATTTTAGTGGGGCTCATACAATTCATTGCAATACATAGATCAATTGTGTAAAGCACACTTATACATGTGTTGCCCTCATCATTCTCAAAATTCGCTTTCCTCTTGGGTTCTCCAGGAAAATATTAACATGTGCCAGTATTGGTAGATGATAGTGACTGAATGTTTTCGTAATTTAAATGATTACAGTCTAGTAATGCACCAGGCACTATTGAACCATTTTGTATAGTTACAGAGAAAATTATTCTAGAGATTAGAAATTATAGTAATTTAACAGATTGATGCAATGATGTATTTCTCCTGTTCTTCAGGGCTTATCAACATACCGGCAGTGGCACTTGGAATATTCTCTGGGGGTATAGTTATGAAAAAGTTCAGGCTTGGCGTGTGTGGAGCTGCAAAACTCTACTTGGGATCATCTGTCTTTGGTTATCTCCTGTTCCTTTCGCTGTTTGCACTGGGCTGTGAAAATTCTGATGTGGCCGGGCTAACTGTCACCTACCAAGGGTATGTCCACGTATTACATGAAGGCTTGGCTGTTTAATGAAATGAATTATGGATGGATTTTGAGACTAGGTTAACTATTTTTCAACATTAAAACTATGGGAAGGAAATCGTTATTTTAATGTGACCCAACTGACTCCACGTGACTTGGGATCTGTTATTATAGACAAAATTTGTCACTTGGACTATGCCTCAGAGAGATTTAGTAAAAGCTACTCCTGTACTCACTCTAGACAATAGGCCTACATTACTTAAGAGGTCAAGTTATTGTTTAAAAAAAACAAACAACAACAACAACAGAGACCTTGAATTTTACCTCTGACAGTTGTTAGCTTCTTAGTTGAGTATAGATCTATGGATTATTTAATTCAGTGTAGACTCACTTTTCAAATTTCCTTTTAAGATTTTGTAAGACTTAAGCAAGAAAGGGTGCACGGAAGGTATTGTATTTGACTGACACAAATAAGTGCTTCATTCATGAAGAAAATACATTCTATGCCTGGATAATCAAGGAGGTTTTCATGCCATTCTCTATAGTCTCTGTGTACTTAAATCGCATGCATTTTCAGAATACAATGACTCTTTCTAAAGTGGCCCTCCTGATAGCTCTCTCTAGTTGGGTTCCTTCCAATTGGTAAGGAGGATGTTTATGGATGCATTCAGATTTATGCTATCTCATAAGGATGTGTGACTGCATTTCTTGGCTTTCAGAGCCTATCTTTATACAAGACTGAATCATATCTGGCCACTTTTGTCCCTATCAGTAGACCTTCCCATCCCTCCAGCTCTGACCGTTCCCAGAGGCAGCTCTCTGTATCTCTGTGTTCTTGTTGGGGGCCATCAAGTCCATTCTGATCCATAGGAACCCGTGTAACAGAGTGGAACTTCCTCCTATCTTTTGTTCGTTGTTGCTATAATCAGTGGTGCAGTGGGTTATACATTGTCTGGCTAACTACAAGCTATGAAGTTCAAAACCATCAGCTTCTCCGCAGGAGAAAGATGAGGCTGTCTACTCCTTTACAGATTTGCAGTCTCAGAAATCCAGAGGAGCGCTTTTGACTCTGGCTACATAGAGTCACTATTGAGCCACAGAAGCATGGTTTCTGAGCGTTATCACAACAAGATTGTTAGATTTAACCTAGTACAGTATTGTTTTAGTAACAACCAGAATGCCTGTAAAAAACGATTACTTGTGAACATGAATTGCAAGGGAGTCCTGGAGGAAGGAGATGCTCTGGGGCATCTCTATTTGGCCCTCTGAACCACATGGTCAATGGACAGGGATAGAGTACTCGATGTTTTGCAATTTGCAGAGAATCTTAACTTGCATTATCTCACTTATATTCTCAGAACATCTTTACTAAGTGAGTTTTGTTATCTCCATTTATAGAATATTGTGTTTAGAAAAGACTTGAAAACAAGCATGACTCAAAGTTACTATTGTTTTTTCACAATAGCATACACACAACATATAGACAACAGCAAATTTAGAGAGCCTCAATAAAGGTGTACTTACATAATAAATTATGGAATATTTTAAATCAAATAAAAGAACATAGTCATTACATAAAAGAATACGTTCTTTTACAAAGTAGTCTCCTAGAATGATTACAACTGCTGTGCAGTTATACTGTCTTTGTTTAAAAATGAATACAACCCTTCTTTTAAAATAGGTTTGCATATTTTTGAGAAATTCTCAACAATAACAGAAACTTAATCTGCAAGAATCGCTTTGGAATTGGAAGCTGTGAAGTTAAAAGAAATAAATAAATGAAAATGAGAGGCCAACATCTCTCACTCTCCAGCATGCCTATTTTGGAAAAAAAAATTTTTAAATCTCTTGGATGTAAAAACAAACAAACAAAAAAGCATTCTTACCATTGAGTCTATCTATTTCGATTCGTGCTGACCCTGTGTCGGGTTTTGAAGGCTATAAATCATCCATAGGACCAGATGGCCCTATCTTCCTCCGACAAAGCAGCTGATGGGCTTGAACCACCGTCAGCATGGTTAGCGGTCCAAGACTTACCTGACCCTTTGTGCACATTATTCTGAAATATTTGTGAAACATTCTTGCCATCGACATGTTTAATCACAATGCTTTGTCAACATAGTTTTATTATAGTATCTATATAATTAATTTATGCCTCAAGACCTCTAGAACAGTGTAGGATTTCCCAAGGTTATTATCTTTATGAATGTAGATTACTGTATCTTTTGTCTGAAGAACTGCTGTTGGGATTGAACCATCAATGTTTTGATTAGTAGCTGAGCATTTTAACTACTGCACCACTAGGGATCCTCAAGACCCTTTAAAGCATCAGTTCTCAACTTGTGGGTCACGACCCCTTTGGGGTTCCAACGACCCTTTCACAGGAGTCACCTGATTCATAACAGTAGCAAAATTACAGTGATGAAGTAGCAACAAAAACAATTTTATGGTTGGAGGGGTCACCACCACATGAGGAACTGTATGAAAGGGTCGCAGCATTAGGAAGGTTGAGAACCACAGCTTGAGGTGATAAAATTAAGTAACTTTGAGTAAGATGAAATAATAGACTTAATAAAATCACACACATACACAAATCTTTCTAAGCTTTATGGTGAGTTGCTTTGTTCCAAAAAGCTGTTTTGACTCTGGATGTTAATTCTGAGCATTCAACAAGAATAGAAAAGCTTTAGTTTTGATAACGAAAGCAATTTCGTTTTTTGCAATAATGAGGGTAAGCTTGATGCGAGACAAGGATTCTAATAAATGGTATGAAGTTGAGCAAGTTACATACCATCTCTAGACCTTACTAGTATTGCCGAGTGAGTGAATGGATCAGGATCGTTCCAATGTTTCTTTCAGCTACAACCTTCTATGCCTTCACCCTCCATTATCTATAATGATCTCAGTAACAACTGATAGCTTATGGAAGAGAATAAAATTACATTTTTGTGTAGGCCTGGTTAAGTACCCTTTTACTCTCAGGTCATCTTAAAAGTTTTGTCTTTACTTTCCAGGTAAATATCTAGTGCCGCTATAATAGGAACAGCAAAGGGGGCTGGTTTTAAGCAACAGTCATTTATTTTCACATAATTTAGGGACAGTAAGTGTGAATTGAGGACATCCATGTTAGCAGAAGGTTTCCTGTGTTGGCGCTGGATGAAAGTCCTTATTTTTACCAAGCTTCTGTTCCCGCCCAATCATCTCTTGTGGCTTTGCATGTCTCTTCACCCATCTCTGCCCTTGGATTGCTTCTCTTTTATCTCTTTTATATCTCAACAGAGATTGACTCATGACACACCCTACACTAACCCTGCCTCAGTAACATTGCAAAGGCAGCCCATTCCCAGATGGGAGAAGAAACAGGCATAGATGTTGGGCTTTACAATACATATGCCAAGGGGACCCAATTCAGGAATTAACAGTAATTTAACCCATAGTCATTTTCCTTCAGAATAGGATGCTACATCGATTAAGAAATTATGATCAAAACCAATATAGGAAATAACTCTCAAGATTATGGGCCAAAATGACAGATTCTTCCTCCAAAATACAACAGCAATCTCCTTGGATTAGAGTACTTCCCAGAAATCCTGATTCTTAGATACCATACATAATCGAGTATAAGCCAACCCGACTATCCGCCAAGGCACACCTAATTTTACCACAAAAACGGCATAAAAAATGTGCTGAAAAATTCGGCTTATACTTGAGTATATACAGTAGCTTTATGCCAGACTTTATTCTTGGTGCTGGAAACAATGAAAGTGAATCAAACAATTAAATCTTGCCCTCACAGAGTGTATATTCTAGTACTGAGTATTTAAGTAGCATCACCAATTATTCCAAAAGTTTGCTTTACTACTTGCCTTTATGGACATTTTCACATTCACATTGAACTATTTCAGGATACACTAGAGGCAGTAGACTGCTGTCAAAGCAATAAGCTAAGAAAAAAATAGTGAAGTAGTAAACTTTCAAAGATAACTGTTCACAGGAAGCTGATGGATAATGGCACACTCGTTATGACCAGAAGCTGGCATTTCGTTAACTGATTTCCCATGTCAAGTGTGTTTCCAACATGTCATCTTTATAGGCAGTGCCACGTGTGTCACCCAACTCATAAGCATGATTTAAACAAATGAAGAGGCGGTCTGCCACATGGTACTTACGCATACTGCTCTGTTCCTTTTCAGAAGCAAACTTGTCTCTTATCAGCAAGAAGCACTATTTTCAGATTGCAATTCGAGATGCAAATGTTCAGAGACAAAATGGGAGCCCATGTGTGGTGAAAATGGAATCACATATGCATCGGCGTGCCTTGCTGGTTGTGAAAGCTTCACCGGGAATGGAACAAATATCGTAAGGAATCTCACCTAAAATCCATCTCCCGGGGTCTACTCGAGTCTATAGAACTTTGTGGGCACAGAGGAATGAACTCCACAGTCCTCCAGCATTGAGAGGAGCCGTGCTTTTACCTGCTCTTGAGCATTTATATGGAATCAGGAAATGTGCAACCATTCCTAGTGGAACTAAATTTGTTGAAATGATTGAGATAAGAATTAGAACCAACAACTGTGAAACGTTTTTGTAATTATCAGATCTTATTCCTTCGTTTAATTTATAAGGGATATGAACTTTTGATGAGGGAATCTCATGTTTAAGATCATACAGCTAAATAAGATCTGGGTTGCAATCCACATTGCCTGACCCCAAGACCCATTGTTCTTGTAGATTAAGGGTCAGGACAAATCAGGGCCAGTGTAAGGAGTCCAGTCCCAGGCACAAGAGGACTTGTAAGAAATTAGTGGTTCTGGGATGAGTCTGCATGAGGAGTATAAACTATTGTGTGTAATAATGAAGAGAGCAGATGAGTGTGAATGAAGGAAGATGAAGTTGGCAATATAGGAAGGAAACCCATGTGAGAGCATTGATATATGACAACATTAATAAATTAACATGTATCACACCTTTACATTTCAGTCCCAACCTTTGTGTTGATGCTAACTCAGAGCAATCCTCCTGGACAGGGTAGAACTGCATCTGGGAGTTTCAGATACTGTAGGTGTGTACAGGAGTAGAAAGCACCTTCTGAGGAATGGCTGGTAGTTTTGAACTGTAGACCCTAAGGATCACAGCTCCACATGTAACCACTGCACCATCAGGGCTACTCCTAGGAATAAAGCACAGTGACCACTTTCTATCTGTGACTAATTAAATCCACCTTTATCCGACAATTTGGAAGGTTTGTAAGTTCAACCAAAATTGAGTTTACATGTGCTTATCAACTAAACATTAATACTGAAACACATCTGTACTCATAAATGAACACTTCTGGATTTTCTGCTTATTGTATCATGTTTGACTTAAGAGCAGGAAGCTTGGGACTCTAGCAATTATGCATAAGGCTAACACAATCATCTACAAAAGTTTTTGTCCAATCTCTTTTCATATTTTATTTATTTTTATTTTTATTCCTTTGTCTACAACTATAGGAGATTTTGCCAGAAGTAGAACTAGCTTTTATTAAGAATATTGCATGCAAGGGACTGAGAAAGTTACTCTGTTAGTTTGGATAGACTAGAGAAACAAATCCAGAGACATTCATATATGTATAAGAAAGAGCTTTATATACGAGAGCAGTTGAATATTGAGAAAACATCCCAGCCCAGTCCAGATCAAGTCCACAAGTCCAATATTAGCCCATATATCTGATATCAGTCTATAAAGTTCTATTCAGACTCACAAAACACATGCAATGATGCTGAATGCAGGAAGATCACAGGCCAGTGGGTGGAAGGTCTTGTGGATCCAGTGGCAGTATAAGCAGCTCAGCATGGGCTGGGGTCTCCATGTGTTTCCTCCAGCTCCAGAGCTCTAGTGTAGCTGCATATGTCTTTCAACAGAAATGTCTCACAGAAGTGAGCCTGTGTCCTTTGTCATATGAGCTATTTATCTCCTAAGCACCTCCAAATGAGGTCATCAAGCTATGACCTGATTGACAGACTAAACTCCACCCCTTCACTCTTAATCCTCTCAAATTGACAACAGATTATGTAACTACCACAGTTACTGTAAATTTTTAAAAGTTTAAACGTACCATCTATACTTGAGTATAAACCGACCCGACTATTAGCCGAGGCACCTAATTTTACCAAACTGCATAAAAATGTGCTGAAAAACTGACTTATACTTGAATATATATGGTAATATATTTGAATCCCATGGTCCTCAAGAAACTGGATATCATTATATCCATTTGCCTCAGAAGGCAATTGAGGTGCTGCAATAAGGTGCTTGCCTAAACTCACATTACCAAAAAAGTGGAGATTAAGATTAATAACTTTTTTCCTGCCCATAAAAATAATCTACATTACCGCTTTCTGAAAAAAGGATTTTTACTGTAGGTTTTAAAATTCACAAACTCGTCTGTGTTGGAAATTACAAGTTGTTATATATACACACACAGACATAAAGTTTTTAGAAATAAACAGATGAGATAGCCTTATTCTTGTCTAAATTTAGTGCACCACGAATAGTTTTTCTTGTGACCACTATAAATATACCCTGTGCCCATTGCCCATTTTCAATGCAAGTGTACCAAAGTTAACAAATGATGAATTCAAATCGATGGCCTAAATGGTGCCAGACATTGTTTTACATTTCAGATGTACCATGATGACAAACAGGCACTATCTGCCTTTTGGGAAGTTGCATCCTTGTGGGGAAACAGGTTACAAATAAGCACATAGATCATGGTCAATAGTGATCATCACTGTTAGAACAATGAAAGTCCTGTTACTTTGAATGGGTGCTCCAGGAAGGTCTCACTAATGAGATCTGAACAGAGACATGAAATGCAAGTGCTCACTGTGCCCCATCTGAGAGAAGCCTTGCTCAGGAAGAGAAAACACAAAGCCAGGAGGAATGGGCAAACCTGTGTGAGGATTGAGTAGGCCGAGATGGGAACTGACAAGTGTACCTGAGCAGAGGGAGAAAGGGAAGAGTGGTTAGCACTAGATCAAAAGGGAATTCAGTCGCTGCATTGTGAAGTTTGTCAACCACTGTAAGAATCTGATATTCTATATTGACAAGCTGGGGAGCCATTGTCAATAGGAGGGCAGTGACACAACCCCACTGACATTGGAAAGAATCCCTTTATGATCTACGGTCTGTGAGACAGATGATGGCTGAAAACGAACGGAAGTAGCTTGACCATGAAGAGGCCATTACAGTTATTAAGATAAGGAAGAACCATGGCTTCGATGTGGATGCCATAATGAAAGAAATAAGGAAGGTTTATAGGATTTGCTGAAGGATAGATTCTGCAGTGCGTAGACCAACTGTTCGCTCGTTGGATAGTAAATGATGTTTCTGTATGGATTTCACTTTGCTCTAACAAAGAAAAGTTCCAAAAAAACTTCCCTGTTGATTGACACAATGCTTGTCTGCTGCACAGGGGAACCTTTGAATATGGATGTATCTCTGGTTTTATTTAATGTTGCTGCAATAATTGGATATTTCCCTGTTGTGTTCCAGATATTTTATAACTGCACCTGTGTGGGAATGAAACCATCTCAATCAGGAAACTCTTCGGGCATTGCGGGCAGATGTCCAAAGGACAATGGGTGTCCCCAAAGGTTTCTGTATTTCCTTGTCGTTTCAGTCATCACATCGTACACGTTATCTCTAGGTGGCATACCTGGATACATATTGCTTCTGAGGTGAGCATTTATTCTCCCAACGCTGAGTTAACATTTAATGTGATCAGCAAGAACCGTGATTCAAATTTTGTTCTGTGAAATCATCCTGATTCCTTGTAAAGTGATTGGTCCACATTTTTCTATCACTTTTGTTTTCTACTTTAGGTTTGGTGCAAAAACATCTGCTTAAATAGAGTCTTAAAATATTTGGCTAACTGATAATCTAGAAAATGACATTGGTGACTACACCATGGCAGTCAATAAATACAGTAGACTACTTTCTAAAGCTGGTAGTATAGTATTAAGTACGATACACAAAATGTGTTTGGGATTGAATGTAGCTTCACTAGATTTATACAAGTAATACAATTTATAAGATACTTTAAGAGCTTGTTTAACACAACAATGTTTTTTTTACATGTATTATTTTCATAAGTAGGCAATTACTCCTGCTATCTAATCTTGATCAGGTTGGCATTATCTGTAGGCATTTCATGGCTGTTGACATAATTGAGGGTACTGATTCTTGAATAGCATGTCAATGATCACAGTTTTTTTTAATGAAACCCTAAAAGAATTACAAAACCACATACACCTTTGCATATTTAAAAATTAATACTTCACCACTTTAATCACAAATTTAAATAAAAGTTACTGCATAATTTCTAGAATATTGTAAATACTCATGTTTAAAAAGTATAATGATTAAGTGCTTCTTTTAGCTGTATTCCATGGTATCTTCAAAATCACCCAATGAGCCTGAGTGACATAGTGGTTAGCATTGGACTGCTAACTGAAAGATCAGTAGTTCAAAACCGCCAGCCACATCAGGGGATCAAGCCAAGGCTAACTACTCCCATAAACAGTTACAGTCTTGGAACCGCAGAGGGGAGTTTTACCCTGTCCTGTAGGGTCACTATGAGTCAAAATTGATTCAATGGCAGTGAGTTTGATTTTGTTTGGTTTTGTTTTAATTGTCCATACTTTTCCTTCAATTTTTTCCCAGTGTATTCATTTTATATTCTCCTTAAGCGGGTATTATGTATTTTACTTTGAAAAGGTTTAGAAATTATGCTAGATATAAAAGAAGATTAATACTATGGAAAACAAAAAAAATGAACACTAAATAAATATAGTTTCTATGTGTAAAAAATTATGTGAAAAAATAATTGTTGGTCAAACATGTAACAACTTTCCTGTCTTCATTGAATGTCCTTATAGAATTTTCTTCTTGAAAATTCTTGAACATTTTAATTGATCATCTTATTATACATTTCTATAAATAACATATAAAAATTCAACTTTTAGAACGTAATATGACCAAGATTCTCTTTGATGATTTTTCCTCATTAAATTAAATTTTCAAATATTATTATTAAACAATTCTTCAAAATAGCCTAAATTATTACTCATGAGGTAAATTTTCAGGAAATCAATCTTTTATGAAATGAAGTGAGTGATTCTTAAATTAAGTCCTATAGTAAGCGTTAATGAGATTAACAAAGAATAATGCATTCTCTTCTAATTTCCATATTTTACTTCAAAAGTTGCTTCGTAAATTAAAGAGAAAAAATAATTTCCAAATCTGTTATTCTCAAAAGGGATGATGGAGAACTGAGGTGTTTGTGTTTACAAATGACAGCACAGGTTTAGAATGAGAAGAAAACGTTGTACTAAGGTTCCCAAACAAGTGTTGTCCTTCACAGGCAGACATTTCTTCTCCTTGATGAGCAGCCACCTGGGCCAAGCAGAGAATCAGACTTCTCTGCACCCACCCCCATAATGGTACTTCTCTACCGTTAATTTTTTAACAGTCTTATTTACATATACAGTTCAACAGTTCAGTCCTATTAAAAAGAGTTGTACAATCATCACCACAAACAATTTTAGAGTATTTTCTTCTTTTTTGTACCCATTGTTATCAGTTCCCAATTTCCCCAACCTCTATACCTGCCATATCCCTAATAAACCATTAATTCAGTTACTGTCTCTATAACTTTACCTATCCTGAATTTCATATACAGAAAAATATACAACAATTAACCAAATACCAACCACAATAGCAAAATAAAACAGAGAAAATCCTCAATTGAAAAGAAAGTAGAATCTATTAAAACCAGAACAAATTTTAAATGGTCAAAAGGGAGATCAAGTGATAAAGTATTTAATTTTAACCTAACTACCTCTGCAATACTCCACTTTCCAAGGCACTCTGCATGATAGTAAGGCATTCCATCCCTGGTATATGGTCAGGAGGCTGAATCCTGATATATGTTCCTCTTCACTTTTTGTTTTAAACCTGAAACAACTTTAAATGGGTCAAAATGGAGAGCAAATGATAAGCTAGTACATCTTAGCCTAACTCCACTACCATAACTGACTTTACAATGCCTGTTGTTTGATAACAAACCTGTTCAGATATTCATATCTCTAGACTTTGGTCTGAGGGGATTCACTGGCTTAATCCATGCATGGACCCTGCAAATGGATTTGGGGATTCTACTGTCATCTACTGGCTTCTACTGAAGACCAGGTGTTCACAACTTAAGTTCTGATACCATTACCTCCTTCATATGTGTATCCAATTACCTACATTCCTTGGATCACACAGGTGGCTGATATGCTTCTTCCACGTGAATTTAATTGAAGCCTCACTTAGATGACTGCTTGTTGGAAGACAAACCTTTAGGCCCTCATATAATATTATTCCTTCTCATAGCCTGGCACCATCTGAGGTCTTCACCACACATTGCTAAAGCACCCACACTACCAGTCTTACCAAAGCGTTGGTGTTTGATGTTAGAAGAATGCCTTTGGGTTGAATGAGAAAAGTTGTCATTTTTGCCCCTTGTAAGGCAGTGATGAACTGTGATAGCACATATCGTGTACTTAGTTACACTCTGTTACAATTATATATCAACATAATTATTAGTATTTTTATTCATAGGCCAATCAGTTAGATTTATACAACTGAATTAATTTTGCTTTTATTATTTTAGTTGTACTTACACTTAGCTGATAAAATCAGTCCCCTGTTACCCAGCCCCAATACTTTGCAGGCCACAATAATTATTTAGGTCCATTGAGTCCTGTGCTTTTAAACTAGAACTCTCCCAAACTTGGGATAGGTTATTAATTATTTTTTGTTACTTCAGGTTTTTTTAATTTCTTCTAACTTATTTTTCTTTTCTTTTCTTTTGCTAATTACTTATGATTGTACTCTGCCTGAAATCATTGAAATATGCCATGGAATGGTTATTATCTTCTAGAAATATTCACTCTATAAACTCTTTGAAGCATCACACATCATTTGTGTTGTTAGGTGCAGTGGAGTTGGTGCCAAATCATTACAATCCTTTGCACAATAAAATGAAACACTGCTTGGACCAAAGCCATCCTTGCGATGGTTATGTTTGAGCCCCTTGCTGTAGCCACTGTGTCAATCTATCTCATTGATAGTCTCACTTCCTTGCTCACCCTCCGCTATGCATGATAGCCTTTCCCGGGAATGGGGTCTCCTGATGACATATCCAAAGTCCAAAGTATATGTGATGGAGATTCACCATCCGTACTTCGAAGGGGCATTCCAGATGTACTTCTTGCAAGCCAGCTTTACTTTTTCTTCTGGAAATCTAGAGACTTCCGATATTCTTCATCAGTGTTCTAATTCCAATGCTTCGATTCTTCTTTGGTCTTCCTTACTCACTGCTTGGCTTTCACAGGCATATACGGAGATTGAACATATTAGGACTCGGGTCAGGGGCACCTCAGTCCTCAAGAGTGACAGATTGCTCTTTAGCATTTTAAAGAGGTCTGGGCAGCAGACTTCCAGTGTCGCACATCATTTGGAGCATGGTTTTTTGACCTGCTGTCCATAAAAGCCTCACAACTATAGAGTCACAATCAGCTCAACAGCAGTGCTTTTTTGCTTTTGGTTTTTAATGCCTAATACGTGATTGACTTGTCCATATATACTACTTGAGAACTAATATAACTTCATGTGTGTTGCTTGTTTTAATTGATTACAGATAAATATTTTATAATAATGTTTTGGTTTTAGGTGCATTAAGCCACAACTCAAGTCTTTTGCCCTGGGCATCTACACCCTAGCAGTAAGAGTCCTTGGTAAATATACTCTATGCTTTCATTTACAGTGGCCATAAGAAGTGTATTTGAAATGCCTTTCTAAATAACTTTGTATAATTACCATTTGTAATTAATTATGCAGCTGGTTAAGTCTTTTTATCCCTCCCTCCTTTCAACTTCTTTCCTTCCTTCTCTCCCTCCCTTTCTCCTACTTTAAATCTCTCATTCTTTTCTCCAAAAATGAGAGTCAATACTTATTTTCAATACTTTGCCAGTGATATAAAGTAACTTGATAAGAGTAATGGCAATTTTTGTTTCATAATCTTGCTTCTTCTATGATTAGGCTATTGTCAAAAGCCCATTGCTATTAGGGTAGGACTCTCTAAGATGAAAGTAGGACCCCAAAAATGCTTATGACAGTTTCCAGTAATTTAAATGGAAGAATTTATTTCCAGCTATGTTTAAGGTGCTTTTCTAGGATCTGCCATTAAATAGAAAGCTAAGATTATTCAAGTAATTGAAGCAATATGGTTTTAAATTGGTGATTTTTTTCAATATAATTGATATGTTTCTTTTGATTACAAGGTGTTTACCATATGTATTGGTCAAAACTCACAGAAAACCTGAGAGAATAAGACAGATAACTATGTCCTTAAGGAATGTATATTCTAAAAGAGAAAATGCAATCGTTGTGTATGATCCTCTGCAATTTGGCAGGGCAGGGTGATGGTGGGGGTGGGGGTTGATAAAAATCTCCCTGGGATTAAAAGCAAACTCATAGCTTTAAACATTTGAAAGGAAGTTTGACTTACATACATCCTGACATAAATGTGTACAAAAGGTATGCAGGTTCAATCTAATCCTAATGAAATTGTAGAAATAACAAAAATGGAAAGTTATGCCATATGGTATAGAGGTGGTCTAAAAGAAGTGTGAAATTATTGACCTTGAGGTATATTCCCAACCAGTCTTGGCCAGTGAGGAATTGGCCTCAATGTCTACTTCGCTTTGGGTATTTTTAGGTAGGCGATAGTGCAAACAGAAGTTCAAGTAACAAAAATTATTCACGAAAGTGATTCAATCAAAAAAATATATATTTGAAAATATAAAAAATACCATAAGCAAGACCAAAAAAAGTGGTAAACTGGGGGACAGGTTAGAATTTATATGATAGACAAGGGACTAAGACCCCTACTATATAAACAATAAACTCAAAGATCTCATTGCCATCAGTCGATTCCAGCTCATAAGTAGGACATGCAGACTGCACCAGCCCCTGTGGGTTTCGGAGGGTGGAACTCTGTACTGGCACTGAAGGCCCCGGCTTTCTCCCACGGAGTGGCTGGTGGTTGCCCACGGCTAACTCTGCGCAGCAGCAATCCCTGTACCCACGCTATCACCAGAGCGAGATAGCACCTCTCTACGGAGAAGAAATTAGCTAGAAAGCCATTAGAAAGTTACGTAAAAGATACGAATAGCCATTTGGTAGAAAAATAAAAGTAAATATCTCCAAATATGGGATATGGTCCCCAAATTCACAAAAATGTACAAATTATGTGGAGAACCCATTGATTATATATCAGATTGGCAAATTATCAAACTTAATTCATAATGTATGGAAAAACAGATGTTTTGCACATTGCTCTTGGTAAAATGGTACCATTTCTGCAGAGTTATTTGGCAATTGCTATCAAAATTATGTGCACATTTACTTTTTCATGCAGCAATACCACTTCTAGAAATTGACACCAAAAATCTACTCGACAGATTATTAAAAAATTCTAGTTATTATGTATAAATCATATAGTTCTCGCATTATTTTTAATGGCAAAGGACTATAAGCAGTCTAAATGTCCATTACTATGACTCTAATTGATTACATGATAATAAACCCACATAGCAGTATGCTATGCAATTTTAGACAGGAAAGAGAAAAATCTCTCATTTAGCAAGTGAATTCCAGGATATAGTATTAACTGAAAGGAAGCAAAATATAAACAACATCCAAAGTATGCCATTAAAAATAATAGCATGACAGGATGTCTGGCCTCCTCTAACCTCACAAGGAACAAGTGGAATCAGGGTCAACAGCCGAAGGTTAATTCCTTTAAGTTGGAAGTCAAACATACCTCGTCTCTCTAATTGTTTTCACCAATTCTAATAACAGCTCTCCCTCCCACGGCACTCTCTCTGTTTCTTCTGGGTTTGATGATTTGTTGCATAGACCATATTCACAATTATGGGATTTCTTGGGGAAGTGATATATTGCAATTCTGGATCCAAAATAATATCCCAGGACACCTCAGCTGTCACTGCAGGCAGGTCGCTTAGTCAGCTCCTCAATCCCTCTGCAAATGTTACAAAGTTATTTGGCTCCACCATTAAGTACTCAGAGGCACCCACTCCGAGGAAGCTCCGGCTCCTTGGGTTGGCCACCCTGTGTCATCACCATGCTCCTAGAGACAGGAAGCTCACCACTCCCTCTTGTTCTCTCTCCTGTTTCGGTGGCCACCAGGACTCTGTGGTTGCTTCTTCCTATCTTGTGCCATCTCTGTTGTTACACCTCTGTGTGTCTTTTTGTTTTTTAATTAACTAATTTATGTTAATCATTTTATTGGGGGCTCGTACAACTCTTAGCACAATCCGTCCGTCCATCCATTGTGTCAAACACATGTGTACATTGGTTGCCATCCTCATTTTCAAAACATTTTCTTTCTACTTGAGCTCTTGGTATTAGCTTCTCATTTTCCCCCTCCCTCCCTATGAGCCCTTGATAGTTTATAAATTGCTATTATTTTGTCATATCTTACACTGACCAATTCTCTGTGTATCTCTTGAATGTTAAGACATTCTCAGCCAGGAACCCCAGGTCCACAGGGTGAACTACGCTCTCACCTCTTCCTGGTGGGAGTGAGTGCTCACTTTCCACTTCTGGGATGGATCATTTCAAGTCTTGTCAAATCTTGGAATGGGTGTTCCATATAATTTATTTGTATGGTCCCGCACACACAAAGGGCCATGCACTGTATTTGCATTTTTAGCAAGCTGTCTTTATTTGCATATCATCCCCCCAAACATTTGGTTGTAATTACAAAGTGTGACTAGAAAGGCCATGTAAAAGCTATCCATAGAATGGCAAATGCCTTTTACACAATAAATGTGGAAAAGTGAAAATATTATAAACACCCAAAAGTGTTTGCTCTTATTTAAAAAAGAAACATTGAAAGCATAAACTAGTAACTAATAAAAAAA